TAATAGCCTATTAAATGAGCAGCATGGTTTGACCAAGAGATTGAACAAAAGTGAAGTGACCACATCCTTGACTAGATGCATGATCACCTCTCCCGTTTGACTGAGGAGTCTTGTAAAGGAAGTGTGGAGTACATACGGATTTGACTCTCAAAGAACTCATCCAAAGAATGATTAACCCAATAAAGATGACTTTCCTCTACCCAGTTTCTCAGTTCCTTGCTTATGCCTTGTAGGAGGCCACTGGGTAGGACAGCAAGGTAGTATCCCTCTTTTGGGGCAACCCTCCCCCACTCAAGAATAACCCTAATAAATATGAAATTTTTCTATTCAACCTGTGACCATGTTTCTTATTTTTGGTGTGAGACAAAGAATCCAGAAGTCAATGGTTTGGGGCTGGTTTGATGACTATGATCATCTAGCAACTTTAACTCTCTGGGTTAAGCTCACCAGGGTCAAGGGAGGCTTGACCACACTCAAAGAGCACATATAATTTATAGGAACCACAGAGATTTCAAGGGGAGTGAAGTGGACCAGGAAAGAAGTTAGCTGCCCTCTCTCACTGTCTTTCTGCTATGCTCCTCCCCTCTGGACATTTCAGTAACAAACTTTTAAAACTGCACATTTTTATATTCTTTATGAATGTAAATATTAAAAGTACTCTGCCCATTCACTAAAGATAAATGTTGTAAATACTGTCCTATATACTACTCTCTTTGAAGCTAAAATCACCTTAGGCAACAGGAATATTCCCTCCTCAATGCAGTCCTATCAATCTGCCCCACAGTTTCCTCAGTATTGAATCACATTTCTTCACAGAAGACCCGAATCTCCAGTCTTTGATTCCAGATACTCACTGGATAATATTTTGAGATGATCTTCCAGACTTTCAAAACCCGAATAAGTGAATATATGGTCCATGTGTCACAATTTTAGGGGAGATTAGAAAATCCAGTTCCAGTGTCTGTGTATTCAAACTGCACTGGATGAGATGACTTTTGATTCAGAGACACTTGAAGGAAAGAAAGACATCTTCATTTTCATGATAACCAAAGGCAGGGTTAATGGCCTCAAAGGAACTCCCCAAGGAAGGGAACTTCCTCCCAGAATGTCACTGGGCAGATAGATGATGATGACCTATGAGTCTATGCTGCTGTTATCCCTTTTCCTTCCCATTTTTGGAAACAAGTATGAGAAATACAGTTTAGCCCTAATATAAGTTGAAAAGAGTAAATAGTGAGGGTGAGGATGGCACTTCCTTCAGTATGGACATTGTTCTGTTGTTTAGCTCTAAAGTGGAAAAGATAACATATATGTCTGCCTGACTATGTTCACATTTGATCTTTCTCTTTAGCTGAGCATTTATTTCAGTTATTAATTAGTACCTATGTCTATGTGCTTAAGATGTTCATTTTCTAAGAAAAATCCCACCTCCTAATGTTCAGATTTGGGATTGATAATTGGTTAGTGCTATAGGAGACTTTGAATTTCCTCAAGGAGATACACACTGCCACTCTCACTGAAAGATTCACCTGGGGATCCTTTTTCCCTCCCTTGAGCATATTTACCTCAATTTTACCCTCTGTTGAGATATACAAATGGAAATAAGAAAACTTTATTTTTTTAACCTGAGGTTTAGAGGGGAAGATGAGTTAGGGAGTTGGAGCAAAATGCAAATTAATTCAAATAAGCATTGTCACTTTTGGGTACTAGGGATCCAACGTGTAGATAATATTGAGTGAATCACCACCACCTTCTCTCATAGTCTGGTTTCTCACATAGAAGGACAGAAGGGTTCAATGTACATACACACACACACACACACACACACACACACACACACACACACACACACACATTCTACCGCCTATTCTCTCTAGGAAACACAGCTGAACTTGATCCTCAGAGTGAAGCTGCTTAGTTGAAAACTCTTCTATTCTGCAGCTGATGCATTTGTGTTAGTACTGAAAATTAGGAAAGATGATTTCGGCAGGGGTCTCTTTTCTTTTGATGAGCCTGCAGACTCATCAAACTAATCTATTTCCTCGAAATGAAGTTTTAAAAATTGGAACAGAGCTTTAAAACGAATAAAATGGTCTTCTCTTCCAGGAATAGGCCACAGTATGAACTACAGGATGAGGAGTTTTATTTTTAACAGAAAACGGATATTCATGCAGGATTGGTAGGAGCTGTGGTGGTCAACTGTTAAATGTCAACTTGCCATAAGACAGAATTTTCTCAGAAGAGAGCTTTGATGAAGTATTGTCTAGGTCTGTTGGCATGCCTATAGGAAAGTTAGTTTAATATAGTTGATATATTAATATAGTTGACATAGGAAGACCTAGCCACTCTAGTTGCCACCATTTTATGGGGGTGGACCTTGAACTGTATGAGTTAAGAAAGCTAGCTTAGTAAAAGGAAACAGACATCTTGGATTCATTTACGCTCTTTTTGCTCTTGACCATGGATGTACTATGGCTAGCTGATTGATTTCCTGCCTCTGTATTTCTCTGTATCACTTACTATAACTGGAATTTTAAGCTCTTTCCTCCTTAATGTTGGACAGGATATTTTATCATAGCAACAGAAATGAAATTAGAATAGAGGCATTTTCATACAGAACAGAAAAGTCATACGAGGTGGTAGGAATCTAACATCACTAGATCATACCCTAATTTGGACTTTCACATTACCTACAGAGTGATAATGACTCTACATTCAAGATTCCGGTTAATTTGAGGATCTCAAACTGCTTGGATACTGTCTTACTTTCTTTTTTGTTGCTGAGATGAGGCACTTTGTCAAAAGTGGTTTATGGGAGACAGAGTTTATTTTAGCTCATGGTTCTAGTCCATCTTAGTGGGTGAAAAAAGGTATCAGAAGGCTCAAACTGCTTGTGACATTATTACGTCAGTCAGAAGAACAGAGCCTTGGATGCATGCATGGTTCCTAATGCTCAGCCCCTTCCCTGATCTCCAAGCCTAGGGAATGGTGCCACTCAGAGTGGACAGGTCTTCCAGCTTCAGTTAACATAGTGAAGATAATCCCTCTAGAATCTGTGATTGGGTTTTACAGGCTGAATTGCACAGGGCTACACTGCCCAGTGTCAGTTTAGAGTAAGGAACTGCTGTGGTGGCATTCCTGGATCAAATGAATTTGTGTAGTTATGGCATGGACCTTTGATATACGGGGTATAGCCTTCAGGGTATCTTTCCTGTTCCAGTGCTAAACAGGTGTTTTCTCTTTGATGAAACCAATCATGTGAATGTTTTCAGTTCTTTCTCCACACTTGCTTTATCTGCAATTTAAAATTCACACTACTTTCTTCAGCAATCTGCATCATCTTAAAAAAACATATTTTAGCGCCCCCCCCAAGACAGGGTTTCACTGTGGCTTTGGAGGCTGTCCTGAACTAGCCCTTCTAGACCAGGCTAGTCTCAAACTCACAGAGATCCGCCTGCCTCTGCCTCCCGAGTGCTGGGATTAAAGGCGTGCGCCACCACCGCCCGGCTGACACACCATTCTTACACACATTTTTGCCTCATCAAATATTCACCAGTAACAAGCACTTTGGGACTGAATAGATGAAATAACAGTAACTGTTAGTGGTAAAACTGAACACAAAGGAAACCTTTCTTTGTTCTTCACTTCCAGGTAGTAAATGTTGAGAGTGACCACAGCTGTCTGCCTTGGTTCCTTTGTCTGTGCGTCCTTTTTGGGAAAGGATATCAGTGCTCTAGGGAAGTCAGATTAATAGCAATGAAATCTTGTCTTAGGCATTTATTCTAACCATATAAGTTGTAATATAAGGTTTTCTTGGCCCAGCTAGGGTCTGCCTTTCCTTCTCTGCCCATAAGAAACATGCAGACACTATATTAGTTATAAATACTGTTGACCTTCGGCTAAGGTTTCTTATTCTTAATCATTAACCCATTTCTATATCTCCACATGGGCTTATCTTACTGGAGAAAGGTCCAGGGACCTCTTACTCCTCTGGTGTCCTACATGGTCAATGCTCAACCTGTCTGCAGAGAAGAGAAGAGGAAAGATGATAGCAATTTCCTGCTTGTCCCTGTTTATATACTGATTCTGCCCTGGTATGTGATTTCCTGCCTGGATCACATGGTGACTTCTCTTTACTACATTTCCCAGAATTCTCCTCTACTTCTAGTCCCACCTATCTTGTTTCCCTATTGGCCAACAGTGCTTTCTTCATCACCCAATAAAACAAACATATGTACAGAAGACTTCCCCATCAATAAGTTTATTTGGAGAAGTCTACAGTTTGATGTTTTTACCTCTGCCAAGCATATGGGAATGAATGGCAGAGTAGGAGGCTGACTGAGACATCAGATTTTCACACATTATTAAAATCCCACCATAAAGTGAAGTTCCAAGATATGTAATCAGAACAGTTGCAGAAGATTTTTAATAAAGTTTAATACAGGAGTGAAACACCAATATGAAGAATCTGGTAAGATATCTCAGTGGGTAAAAATGATTGCTGTGGAAACCATGTGATCTGAGTTCAATTCATGGAACCCTTATTAAACAACCGGATGAAGTGGCATGCATTTGCAATCCCAGAACTTCTACAGTGAAAAAGGAGGTGTAGAGCGGTGAATTGGATGAAAGTTCTTAGTTTAGGTAGCCAGAGGCATCAAAGTGACTGCAACAAAGGACAGATAGCCAACTCCTTGGTTGTCCATATTAGAAATACCACCAACACATCTATCTCTTCTTACATCTCCTATAACACACACTCACTCTCTCAAACACACACAGAGGAGAGAGAGAGAAAGAGAGAGAAATAGACAGAGACAGAGAGACAGAAAGACATAGACAGAGAGAGACAGAGAGACAGAGAAATTGGGAGAGACAGACACAAACAGATAGACACTCACACAGGACAATAAATAAAATGAAAAAGAAGCTAAAACATCTCTCCAAACACAATGTAAGAGTATTGTTCAAATGAAAAAAGATCTATAATTTCCTCCCTATTATTCCAGACTGTCACATGGTTCTGAGTTATTTTCATTTCTGCATTTTAACCCCATCAGTACCCTCATGGAGGCTTGCTTCAGCCAACTGCTTGTTAGAATTAGAATAAATGAGTGACAGCATGGATACATGGATGACATTGTGAAACCAAAAATAAAGAGCAATTTGTTTTCTGAAATATGTTTAATAGAAATATGCAGATGATTTCTATTAAAATACCTGCAAAGTGAAAGATGAAAAGGAATATGAAAGAAATCAAAACTTTCATGGCTTTCACATGAGCTTCTGTGTTGGGGTCCCAGTATCCTGAGACATTAGATTGCATTCTCTTGCTGTGTCTCCAAAGAGAAATTATTAAAAAGAAACATGCAGTTAGGGTCATCATAAAGAGAGAAATGATTCCAATATTGACTAAAACGTAGTTAATAATGGATTCCCTTTTCTCCAGGTAGATCTCCCTAGTTCTGTTTATATGCTTCATTTTATTATCCCTCATTATCTTCACAACGAGTGAGTAGGAGATTAGCAATGAGATTAGCAAGTACCCCACTAGAAAGAAAAGCACTTTGTCAGTCCTTCTCTTCAACCAGAGAAATACGCAGTGTGAAAAGTTTGCTATTTTCAGGAAATAGAAGATGCTGAGGCTGGCGGCAAACCAGATATTCATGTGATTCACAGTCACCCATATGTAACTGATAATTTCAGTCAGACTGCTAAACCAAGGCGTAGTAGGAAAGAATACCTTTGTACATGCATCTAAAGTTATTATCCATATGATAAAAATCCTGGAAGTCACCAAGCCAGTGAGAAGGAAGCCAATCTTGGAGAGCTTCTTGTTCTTGGCACAGTCCATGCAGTTTGCAAGCATAATGATCGAATTCCCTAAAACTCCCAGCACAACCTCAATAGTTGCAACAGAAATCAGGACACCTCCTGCTGCGCTCAGCATGTCTGCAGACCCACACAGTTGCTTCTGTTGCATCTATTATAGATAACCCGTGGTCGACTTTCATCTATATTGACTGACTGGTAGAAGATGTTTTTTCCTTCTTTCTCAAATAAAGGATTCAAAGTGCATTAAGAATATGTTGTGGTGGAATCTGGGTACAGACTATATGTCTTATTGTATTTTGCTTATAGGCAAACGACAGTTTCCATTTCATGTATTTTGCATCTTCCTCAGACTGCTTTACATATAATAAGTGTGGTCATTGAGTAGGAGTAGCAGATATATAACAGAAATTAAACAATAGGAACAATACTGAACTTCATGCCTTAAATATGAAGACACCATCATGTGTTGTGCAAGATAGTTCGTGCTTACAGTACTAGCTAGCTCTTTGAGAGCTGTGAGTTTGAGACCAGCTAGCTTACCCACAGCTTTTTTATGAAGAAAAGAAAATTCCATAACTCTAAAACCAATAGGATTAAAAAAAAGCAAAACCAGAAAAGGAGAAAATTAATCATACTTTTATTGTTTATAGACATAATCTGAAGGTACAAATAAAAACTAGTTAGATATGTAAATGTAGTCACTTTACCCTGAAATATTGATTTAATGTTTAATTAAAATGCAAGCTCCTTTGTTGGTACGGTAAGTTTCAGAGTAAAAAAAAGTTGTATTTGTGCTTAATAGTTGTATTTAGTGACAGGTTTCATAAAGATATTCTCACCCAACTACATCATGATTTTAACATTTTTAAACTTCCACTATGGTTATCTTCTTTTTCTTTTCTATTTTCTGGACAATTGTCTATCTATTGTCATGTAGTATGTTTGCGTGTGTGTGTGTGTGTGTGTGTGTTTATAGTTACATATTCATTCTATCTCTGTAAAATTTAAGTTGTCTGGTTTGGCAACATTTAGTATTTGAACTTGTCATACATTACAGATATATGGGTAGATAATGAAGATTTCCCTTCATTCTGCAGGCTACCTATATTCATTGCTGAATTACATAGAGAGAAAATGCTCAAAATTTGTCTTTCTGAATCTGATCTAGTTTTCCCCAGTTGTATCCATTTGTTTTTCTACAGATGACATGCTTCAATATTCTTTTTGGAAGAATTGATATCCATCTCTTATCTATTCTTTTCTACATGGACACCAAGACAGTTTTTCTTTTTTTTTTTTGTTTTTGTTTTTTCGAGACAGGGTTTCTCTGTGTAGCTTTGGAGGCTGTCCTGGAACTCTCTCTGTAGACCAGGCTGGTCTCGAACTCACAGAGATCCACCTGCTTCTGCCTCCTGAGTGCTGGGATTAAAGGTGTGCTCCACCAATGGCCAGCGACAGTTTGTTTAACATGAAAAAAGGGAACAGTGTTGCAATAAACATGAAATTCAAGTGCCTTTGTGGTATGCTGACTTAGAATCTCTTGGATGTATAGTCAATATTACTGTAGATAGTTCATGTGGTAGTTCTATTTATGCTTTTGAAGATCATTCATACTGATTACTATAACAGCCAGACTAAATTATATTCCCACTAGCAATGTAGAAGTACCCCTTTGCCCAAAGCCACTATCAGCATTGGCCATAATTTGTTTTCTTGATGACAGCCATTCTGACTGGGGTGAGATGGGATTTCAATTAGTTTTAATTTGTGTTTCCTGCATAGCGAAGATTGTTGAATAGTATTTGAAATATTTATTGGCATGTCTGGGTTTTTAAAAAAATTTATTACTTTAATTTCTTTTTTTCAGATATTTTTTATTTATTTAATCTTTTTATTTTAATTTTAAATAGCTTGTTTTACATGTCAATCCCAGTTTTGTCTCCCTCCCCTCCTCCCACACCCCGCATCCCCCCCAGCCTCCCACCCTATTGCCAATTCCTTTTACATAGGGGATATCTAGAGTCTGTCATTTCACTCAGGGTAGGGTCCAGGCACTCCTCTAAGAGTCCAGGCTGAGAGAGCATCCCTCTTTGTGCTATGGACACACGATGTCTATTTGTATTCCAGGGATAAACACTGATCCATTGCTCAGGGCCCCATAGGTTGCCCAGGCCTCCTCACTGACACTCACATTCAGGGGGTCCAGATCAGTCCCATTCTGGCCTCCCCGCTGTCGGTCTGGGGTCCAAGAGCTCTCCCCTGTTCAGATCAGCTGTCTCTGCTGGTTTTGCCAGCCCATTCTTTGCCAATTTGCTCATCACTCCTCTCTCTCTGTCACTGGGTTCCTTGAGTTCAGTTCAGTGTTTAACTGTGGGTGTTTGCCTCTGCTTCCATCAGTCACTGGATGAAGGCTCTCAGATGGTTATAGACATCAAGTTCATTATCAGGAATGGGCATTCGAGGTGGTCTCTCCACTATTGCTTAGCTTGCCAATTGGTGTCATCCCTTTAGATCACTCGAGGTCACTCTGGTGCCTGATCAGTCTTCTAACCTATGATTCCCTCTTCCTCCTATTCTACCTCCCCACTCAACCTTCCTGTTTCCCCATGACCTACTCTCTCTTCCTCTTCTCCCCCTCTCTTCTTCCCAGCTAAGGATGTTGAGCACTTTCTTAAGTGTCTCTTGGCCATTTTAGCCTCCTAAATTGAGAATTCTCTATTTAGTTCTGTACCCCACCTTTTAATTGGATCCTTTGGTGTTTTGGAGACTTGCTTCTTGAGTTCTTTGTAAATTTTGGAGATTAGCCCTCTATCAGGTGTGGGGTTAATGAATATCTTTTCCCATTCTGTGGACTGCCTTTTTGTCTTGTTGACTGTGTCCTTTGCCTTACAGAAGCTTTTTAGTTTCAGGAGGTCCCATTTGTTAATTGTCGATCTTGGTGTTTGTGCCACTGGTGTTATGTTCAGGAAGTAGTCTCCTGTACCAACTCGTTGAAGAGTATCTCCCACTTTCTCTTCTAAAAGTTTCAGTGTGGCTGGATTTATGTTGAGATCTTTGATCCATTTGGACATAAGTTTTATTTTTAAATTTAAATTTAAATTAGAAACAAGGTTGCTTCATATGTCAATTCTAGGTCCCTCTCCGTTTCCCTCCCCTCCTCCCGTGCCCTCCCATCAACCCCCCAATATCCCCTCATTTCCCCAGGGAGGGTGAGGCCCTCCATGGGGGTGTCCATTGTCTGTCATTTCATCCAGGACAGGGTCTGGACCCTCCCCCAAGAGTTCAGGGTGAAAGTGTATCAATCATTGTTGGATGGGAGTCCAAAGTCTATTTGTATACCCGGGATAAATACTGATCTACTACCCAAGGCTCAATAGATTACCTAGGCCTCCTCACTGACACCCACATTCAGGGAGTCTTGATAAGTCCCATTCTGGATTCCCAGGCATCAGCCTGGGATTCAAGAGACAACCCTTGTCAGGTCAGCTATTTCTGGGGGTTAAACCAGCCCAGTCTTAATGACTTTGGTCATCAGTCCTCCCTCTCTGTCACTGGATTTCCTGAGTTCAGCTCAGTGCTTAGCCGTGGGAGTCTGCTTCTTCTTCCATCAGCCACTGAATGAAGGTTCTGTTTCCCAGAATCTCTGGCTATGGGATTTTAGCATGTCTGGGTTTTAAAAGAGCTGCTTTTTCATCTCATTAGCTCATTTAATTGTTTAGTTGCTTGGTTTCATGTTTTTTAGTATTTTGAACTTGTCCTGTATTATAGATATTAATCCTGTGTTGAATATATAGCTAGAAAATAAAGGTTTATTCCCATTCTGTAGGCTGTCTCTTCACTCATCTAGCCATTTCCTTTGCTGATTTACATATTTGCTGACTTAATACATACATACATACATACATATATACATACATACCTACATGCATACATAAATACATACATACATTTCTCTTTTCCTTCCATGCCGGTTAAAGTTTCAGCTTCAAGGCCCTATGACCTAAGATTGTCCTGTTTTCCTCCATAAGGTCTTATTATAAAATGTTCGTGAGTAAGCGACACCTATGGCAACAGGCTGTTTTGTTTTCAATGTCAAGAGGACCCTCTCCAAAACTGACAACTTGAAGTAAAAGATCTGACATTAAATTTTGTTTGCTGGTGTCACTGGAACTGAAGAATCAGTCCATAGGTGCTCTGATCTATTTTTCCACTACTATTTTTCTAACTATTTATCAGAACTAAATCCACTATTATGACCATGCTACTATATGAAATACCCAATATAATAACTACTTTGTGGGTTAATGGGTAAAAATAAAGATAACTTGCTGGGTGGTGGAGGTACACAACTTTAATTCTGTTACTTGGGAGGCAGAAGCAGGCAAATCTGAGTTAAATGACAGCATAATCTATAGAGCAAATTCTAGTAAAACCAGAGCAACATAGAAATTTAACATTGACTTAAAAAAACCAAACCAAAACAAAACAAACAGGAAAAACTCAAACAAACCAACCAACGAAATAAAGGTAATTTTATAAGAAGTAAAAATGTGCACAAAATTTAAATTCAAATGGATCAAAGACCTCAACATAAATCCAGCCACCTTGAACCTCTTAGAAGAGAAAGTGGGAGGTACCCTTGAACAAATTAGTACAGAAGAATGCTTCCTGAATGTAACTCCAGTAGCACAAACACTGAGATGAACAATTAATAAATGGGACCTCCTGAAACTGAGAAGCTTCTGTAAGGCAAAGGACACAGTCAGCAAGACAAAATGGCAGCTGACAGAATGGGAAAAGACATTCGCCAACCTCACATTTGACAGAGGGCTGATTTCCAAAATATACAATGAACTCAAGAAGCTAGCCACCAAAACACCAAACAATCCAATTAAAAAGTGGGGTGCAGAACTAAATAGAGAATTGTCAATAGAGGAATATAAAATGGCTAAAAGATACTTAAGAAAGTGACCAATATACTTAGCCATCAGGGAAATGCAACTCAAAACAACTCTAAGATATAATCTTACACCTGCCAGAATGGCTACAGTCAAAAACACCAATGACAGTCTATGCTGGAGAGATTGTGGAGAAAGAGGAACACTCCTGAATTGC